GTGTGCCGAAAATGACCAGTCGAATCTCAAGGATCATGGGCTTCTGTCTAGCTGTTGCGATCCGACTGGTCATTTTCGGCACACGGGGTTTTTCGTCACACAGGGACGGACTATAATCATTTAAACTTTGCAGGACGTACTGGAAAGGCCCTTTTCTCGGAAACTCTAGCCTGTATTAGCTGAAAAGCTGCCACAACCAATGAAATCAACAAACCAGCCGGCCTATTAATGATTAGATGTAACGTCCGTCACGAAGGGAACTGAAGATCGCTGCCTTCGGCAATAGCCTTAAGATGCACTGGCGACTAATAGACACTGTACATGTACCTCGCTGCAGCCGCGTAGCCTTACTTCCTCGTTTCGATGTCCTTGCTGTTGACTCACAGCACTGTCGGGTGCCGTATTTGTGCCGCTCCATAGAAAAGTGGATGCACAAGGTAGGTAGGTGGTAGATCTAGGGTATATGTAAGTATGTGAAGTGAAGCTAGATCGTCGTGACTGCAGGTCAGGTATGATTCCCGGAACCAGTCGGTCGAATATGACTATGCAGAAACACGTGTGATGTGATCGCGACGTAAGCTTTTATGCGCCGTTTTGCAAGGCTAGAAATTCCCAGTGATCAGTGCCACTGCTGCCTCAAGGGCCGCCTTCAGAGCCCTGACCCGACGGGACTAGCCACACAACTTAGAACCATCATAGACGATAGTTAGGTGTTGTTGGGGCATTGCGCTGTCCGGCACAGTATGACCGAACATTAAAGGCAAGTCTCGGCGCATTGCGCGTACGGATGCGGTGGCACTCGCATATACTTGCTTTTTTGTGATACTCTATGCAGTGAGACGTCAGCTCCGCGAATTTATGGAAGATCCGTGAGCAAATCCACCCAGTACACAGAAGCGGACATTCGCCGCGCCGATAGGTTGTGCGCAAATATTCCGCTTATGCAGGATGGAATGTAGCGAGCTAGGGGTCGCAGCACTCGAAGAAGACTGTGCCTCTACCCTCGTTATCATTGGCAACATAGTAGAACCACTTGCACACGTCGTTGAGTGATCTGTGGCGGGCGAGGTAGTAGAAGAATAGGTCTAATTGTGTAAGGAAGGTCAGCTCTATTGCGCTTGTATTGCAGATGCGGAAAGTAAAAGAACGAGGCTTGACGTGATAGTCGAAGCAGCGTACTGTATGATTGATTGATTGATTTNGTCCTACTCGGTTTCAGCCGCGTTTTCTCCGCAGCTATGCCCGGCATGGCTGGCGTAGCCAACAGCCGACGCCGCG